ATTTTTATTTTTATTCGTTCCTATAGTGATAAGCAAAGCGTTCGAAATTAAAATCCCATTTTCAGTGGTTTTTTGTAATTTGTCGGTAGTTTTTCATTAAATAACTATTGAGAGAATCGAAAAATGACCTCTCTAAAGTACCATCTTGGTCCAATTCGCTAAAAATCGAAGAACTCCTTCAGGTAGACATTTTAAGTACAGGATAAAAACAAAAAAATGAAAAAATAAACGCCATTGCAAAATTATGTTATAACTTATAACGTTATAGACAGAAAAGTAATATAATAACGTAATACTTACGAGTTATGATATAATACACAAAATTAGTTAAAGTTAAAAAATAATAATATTGTTAAAAACAAAACGGAAATTCTGAATAACATTAAACGTTTATTGAAGTATGAAAACGTTTTACATTTTATAGGTGGGTATTAGGTAATACAACTTTTAACAAATATTTTTTTCAAATATTCGGTTCGAATGCAGTAGGTTCCTACGTCGTGCTTACATAATATTATTATTTTGTTATGAACGGTTGTTGTCGATTGCCTATTATTAAGTGGTTAAACTAATCTATAATATTCAAAAATCAACTTGAAAATAGAAAACAAATGCGTGCAGGCAACAGCCGCCCGCGGGATTATAAAGTGATTCATTATAATGAGCGAAAAACGGTTTTCCGATTAGACGACGTCTTCGATAATAATTTCCCATCAGTTCGCTGTACGGCCCGCGGCGTACGACTTCAATGTCAGTGATATAATAATAGTTTAGCTAATAATAATATGAAAATATTATATTATTATACATTGTCTGTATATTACAACTTTACTAAATAAAACAAGTTCATTAATTACTGGTGGAAAAAAAGGGCACGCTAAACTTTCTATATAAGATCTGACGTTCAAAAAAAAAAAAAAAATACAAAACACAGTAAAAAAAAAAAACCGTTTTAAATGTTATAATATAGTAATAATACCTATCCGTTATTATGCGCTGTGCAGCCGTTCTTTTATAATATTATGAAAAATCTACAGAATTTATGACGAAGCCGTTTCCCGACTGCGAATGACACTCCGAGGACAATAATTATACATTATTCGCGTTTAATGAGCCGCTCTTTTAAAATCTATTGATCGGCCGGCCGAACCGTTGTTTTTTTTTTTGTTATCCCATGACAATAATAATAATAATAATAATAATAATAATCATCACCACCGCCGACCGCCGACCGAAGCGCTATTGAGTGTAAATAATATTAAAATATTATTAATTGGGTTCGCGGGCATTCGATTGTAGAACTCGAAAACAATGAGTATAATATTATGATAAGTTATTATCGTCTCACTCGCACTAAATAATGCGTAAAACGATAAAAATTTAACTTTTTACATCGACAAACACGTCATTCTTTTTGCCCGTCCAGTCGTAGGCACTACCTATGTAAAAAATTCGAAAACATATAAAAATCGATAAACTATAACTACAATTTATTATACCTATATATATTATTTTTATATGAAATGGACATATACGACGATCGTAATACAAATGTGCACGAATTTAGTTTTCATTTCGGTTTCCGCGTATTAGCTGCGAAAAAAACGTAATGGAAAATGGTTGTTCTATATAATTATTTATTACTACCAACGTTTATTGTATTTGATATTATGGTTAGTCATCGACTTTGTTAAAATTCTATTATATTTTCCAATCTTTTTAACATTTCTTTCATTTTATAATATTGATTTAATATAATATAATATTATTAGTTCTTTAACCGATGAGGTGAATACATTGCAATAACTAGATCATTTGTCCAGTTAATTTTAAAAGTGGTCAAATCGGAAATTAATTTAATATATTTTGTTTGACCTCTATACGCACCATAAACAAACTATTTAAACAATTTAATAAATATATAAGCTAATGAAATAATTTATCTTAATTTAATTTAACTTAATACCTGACCAATTTTAAACATTTGTAAGTTACACCATCACTTTGTGTATGTGTGGCCCAGGAAATTGAAATAAAAGATAATTAAAATAATTTTAATTAAGTTAAACTAATGATATTTATCTCAATATTATGGACTTTAAATTTTAGAGCTTTTACTATATTTTATTAAGGGGGAAAAGTGCAGGAAACTTTTGCTACATTGTTTGGCGGTATAGAAAATAAAATAAAATCAACATCAAAAATTTCTTGAAATAACGATCTTGTCTTAGAGAGTAGGTTATAGTATTTTCCTTATAAAAGTACATAAACGTATACAGTTATACTGATAAACTATATTTAAAAGAGGACACTCTTTATTCAGTCACATTTGTCACTGTGAGGTAAGTGAAAATAAGTATCCGAGAAAAAAGTATCCAAATTTTATATTTACAAGTCGATAAAAAAAAATATATTGAATTTGGTACATAATTTATTGTATGAAAATGAATTCACATTTGATCAAACATTTTAGAAGATTATAAATACAATTTATATTGCATTTAAAAAATCCATTACATTTTAATAAATTCGTATTGTCACCATTGTGTAAATATAGAATTTGCATTGGATACTTTTTTTCCCAAATTATATTACAAAATATCGGTGAGTATACCATGACAAAGGGTAGTCACGAGTACAACAATTTGAAAAAAACGTAGCGGTCAATGGTTCACTTTTTTATGATGTCACTGCGTATTTAGGCCATGAAACCATTAAACTAGTATGCGTATAAAGTATGACAATACATAGAATTTTAGGCATCACGTGTATGATCATAATAATGTGTATGGAGGCGGTTTATTACGACAAAATCCACAAAAGCGCAGTCGGCGACAAAAAAAAGCATGAACAACAACAATAGACGGCCCCTTTTGTTTCACTTTTGGATTACACGGTAACACGGGTTTGCCAATCACGAAACAAAAATAATCATCGTTTATGACCTATATATGGGGTGATTCACCACAAGCGTGCTACCCCTTTTTTCTTCAATAACGCAGTTATAGGTATTCAAAATCTGATTTTTCAAATTTCTAGACATACTCAAAGACCATATTTTTGAATTCTTAATATTTTCTTGTACTACTTTAAGAGATATAAACTTCTGTTTTTCAGATGACAACCCCTCCTCCCCCCTTCTTTGACAGTAAATTATTTAACGGTTGATTTTTCTGAAGATTTCAGAAGTTCAAGAAAATACGAGTAGTTTTTGAAATATTTAACTTTGACGTGCATTAAGGGAAATATGAACATATGGTCATTTTAAAATTTTAGTAATTTATTTACATTGGTTTTTTTTTAATCTATAAACATTCATAGTTTGTAAAAAATGGTTTGAGTAGGTAACTATAGTAAAAACTGGATCCGAAATCTATTTTATATTTTTGTAAAATCATTTTAGAAAAATATACTCTAAATAATTTACATTAAAAATGGGGTTTATCGTTTGTAAAACAGAAATTTACATAGTATAACAGAACGATTTCAGTAGTACAGAATAGTATTAGTACAAAAAATCTCAAGAAGTTTATTAAATTTATTATTAATTAAAACACTTGGTTGAGCATCCTTGGAGAATCATCCGGTATAATAATATTATGTATGTCATCGCGATTATTATTATTACTAACGCCGCATTCGTCTCATTCGCCTTTAATAATTATTATTTTAATTTTATTATGACGGTAGTGGACAATTTATAATGGAGCTTTTTGAACTCGCGGCTACAATAACACGTCATATTATTACCCACATAACATCCTAACCTTGAATGAGCTTTAAATTAATATTGTAATTTGAATGTTCATGCTTAAATAAATGTTAGTTTTTGGTTGAATCGTGATCGTTTTAATATGAAATAAACCTTGCATGAATATCATTTGAACCAAAAAAAAAGATCGAATCAACACTTAGTCCTCAATGTCGGTTAAGCGTTAAAAAATAAGGGTTTATTAAACCTAGGATCTTGGCTTAAATTTATATTTATACAAGACTTGTTAAACCTTAATATTATTAATTCTTAATCAATATTTGATACTCATTGAACCTCCTTATATATCTTTTTTATCAATTTTATGTAAATTATTATACATATCAAAATATAGCTAATTCAACTTTTAACTATAAATTAAATTCCATCCATTTAACCTGTTTGTTTTACCTTTAATTGAATATATAATTCAATAAATATTATTATCTATAATGATAAACAACAAAAGACAACACGACCAACAAAAAACAAATAATAATACATGGACACATGGTAATAATAAATAATATTATAAATTATAATATATTTTCAAATTATATTATTACTTTAAAGTATTAGTTATACAATTTAGAAATAAAATATTATAATTATTTTTTATACAAATAACTAAAAAATCAATGTAAATGATAAAATTAAATCTAGCATCTAGCTAACAAAAAATGTTTGATTATACATATTACATAATATATAATTTATGTATTATATAAAATATTAAAATGAAAAATAAACAAAATAATAAACTTGTATCATTAACAAAAAAAAAAAAAAAAATTATATTAAACAAATGATAATAGTACCAATATAATTATACATATTTTGTATCATTAACAAAAAAAAAATATATATATATTTAAACAAATGTTAATAGTCCCTATATTATGGATGTATTTTATAGTAAATTAAATTTTACTTGAATAAAATCTTAAAATGTAAAATTAATATAATTATACATTTGTATTAATTACATAAAAGAAAAAGAAAATTATATTTGAAAAATTAATGATAAGTACCTTTTATCAGTATTATATATAATAGTAGTAAATTGTAAATTTAATTTTTCATTACTTAATAATACATAATATAAAATCTTAAAATGTAAAATAAATATAATTATACATTTGTATTAATTACATAAAAAAAAAAGAAAATTTTATTGGAAAAATTATAATGATAAGTACCTAATATCAGTATTATATATTGTAATTTTCTTTACTTTAATATGAAAAAATTATTGAACTATCTTATCTTTAATTTTAAATGGCGTTTGAATTAGCACATATTTTATAACCTGTTCAATTTCGTTGGTTGAATTATCGGATGCAGCAAATTTTTTAATAGTTTTCACAGATTCTAAAACATAAATAATAAATTTAGTTTAAATTATAGTATAGTTTATATTATATTATACATTACCAAAAATAATTTTATTCACAAGTAATTTATCAAACGAGCATTTTTTATTTCCGCGTCCGTTATATGAAAATTTGCATAGCAATTCAGGTGTAAACATTAGAGTCATTATTCGTTTTACCATAATTTTAATGGATTTTCCACCAACAGATGATAAACGTTTGACCTAAATCAATAATAGTTTAACTTTTGTATATATAAGTACATACAAATAATGTGCTTAAACAAATTACATACCAACTGATGCCGATAATTTTTATCAATAGATAACTCATTTTCAAATTCTTGTAGATTTTCCTGGCTTTTAATAGGCAATTTATCATCTATAAAACAAGTGTCGTATAAGAGTTGAGATTCTTTAGTTTTTGTCAAAGTATTTTCTTCGTCTCTCTGAATAATTATATCTAATTTCTCATGTATTGATTTAATTTCATATTTAATTGTTAGCATATAATTCAATAACCTCGCATATTGATCATCTGTAAAAATACGTTAAAATAATAAATATTCTTCATAGATAAACAGTGTTCAGTGGGCAAATCGGGAATTATTAAGATATCCAATAAAAACAAAAATTATGGAATATGTAAATCAAAATTATCAGTTAAATAATATTATGTAATCGACAATAGTATGATTGGAATAATGTTATAGTTGAGGGTACATATTATATACTTATTATTTCTAATAATTACCTTTATGAAGAGTTTTTTGTTTATATTTTGATGTAGGTCCTTCTGTGGATTTGATGGATATACTATTGTTGACTAAAATCAAAATAATAGCATATAGGAAATTAAATTCAATAATCATTCGACAATATAATAACTAATAAGCGTACATTCTGTCATTCTAATGCATTAATAATAGTTTCAGGAAAATAATGCATTTAAATATGAATTAAAAGCAATACACACCAGATAATCCAGGTCTTGGAGAAATCTTTATTGGACTGTTTGAAAATAAACTTGTCTTAGCTCCTTGAAAAAAAATAATAAAACAAACTACGTAAATATAAGTTTAAAACATTTTCAAAGAAATAAAAAAATTTGTATATGTAGGTAGGTGTACCTATACTATTAAATGATAAATGTTGGTTATTGCGCTTTTTAGTTATTAATATATTATTGTTTAAACAACTATAACTGTCCAAAAACTGTTGTGGAGACAAAGTTTTTTTCTCAGCCATCGAACAAGTGTTATCTGTTTATAGTTAATTAATAATGTTAATACTTTATACTCCACACTAGAATATTAAATAATAATTAAGAAGATTCTAAGAAAATGTCATCATTTTTTAAATTTGATATGACACTGGAAGCTGCTATCAAAAATAACAAATAAATACTTGCTGCTAGTACATGCCTATTTAGATTTTATGCGTTTTACGTAGTACCGGGGAAACAATTGTAGGTGCTGGATAAAGGTGTACACAAATTAGACAAAAAATGACAACCTTATAAAAATTGATAAAGATGACAAAGCTATTTGAATTACACAAGTATTAATTTTGTTTGTTGAATGTATAAAAATTAAAAGGAATAAAATGCTTTTAAAATGAATTGATATATTAGTATTATTTTAAACTTTGTTCATCATTTTTTTATATAATGCATATTAGGAGTGCATAATTTAAAAATGTTAGGACATATTTTCGAACTTATTATTAGTGTATATTATAATGCATATTTTGCCAATTTTTAGTGCATGAATGCATGCTTATTTATGCATTTTTCAGTGCATGAACTTATGAGTCCTAATTATTACTATTACTAGGTTATGATCACTATTATTATTACTATTATTTCTCACTTATGTTAGAGGTTAAATTTTTATTTTTCTGTTACCTATAGTGTGAACTTGAAACGTCATCTTTCTATTTTCTGTTATGTTATGTAGCAAGTTATTGAAAGTAATTATATTAAAAGCTGAAAGTGATTATACTGAGAGACAGAGTTATTTCTTACAAACAAATAAAACTATATTTGTGAATACTAAAATTTAAAATTATAATTACCATTAATAATAGAATTGTTTGGCGTACAGGCAGTTAAACTTGAATCACTCCTATTTGGACTTTTATGAATATCATCAAATAAGCTCCTTTTAACACCTTAAATTGTAGATATTTGATTATAAAACATGAAATATAGTCTAACGCAAATTAAACTTTTATTTTACATTACCGTGTGACTGAGATGAAGATGTATATTTGGATGTTTTTAATGGAGACATAATAACACTGCCGTTATCAGATTTGTATCCTAAGAAAAATAAAAATTACATGATATAAATTAAATTAAGTTATAGTAACAAATTATAATTATAATTTTGAATTTATTAATAGAAATTTTAAATACCACTAATCAGCATTTTTGGAATCGACTTGTTCATAGTTTTTAAAGGTGTGACATTAAAAATATGAGTTACTGCTTTAGAGGATGTAGTAATATCATCATTCAATGTAGCTGCAGGGCTCATTTTGTCTATATTATATAAAATATTTAACTTTATCAATGTTATTTATGGATAAAATGTAATTTATTTACCAACCTGGTACAATATTATTATTTTTAGAGACTTTTAATGGTGACCAACCATCAGGTCGACGTTCATGAACAATATCCTGTCTTAAAAATTTTATGTTTTGGTTGTCGGCTACAATAATATTTTTATTAGGACTAGAATCTGAATCTAATAAAACATGAAAAAAAAAATGCTATAATAATACACTACGAATCTAAAAAATATAAAAAACTACTTGCCTGCAGAATGATAACATGGTATTGAATTTTGGTTCATGTCAGATAATGTGTCAGATTGTTCACTATCTATAAACAAAAATACTTGATAAAACTATAATATACGATGGTAGCATTATAAATTAATATCGATAAATAAAGATTAAATACATATATTATAGAAATAAAATCGTTAAATATGCTTATTTTTTGAAAATTATACCAACTGTATCTAGACTAAACATACCAGATTGTAAACAAACTCTATTTTGCCTTCTAATTTTTTTCTTTTTTAATTTATCTTCTTCTGTCGAAGAAAGGTCAGATTTACCCTTTGCCATCTCACATTTTTTTTGGGCCTTTGAAAAACTGTCTAAAACATATAAAACAACAATTTTTGTTAAAATAATTTGTAATTCTATGCAATACAATAATTAAATATTAATTTATGTAAACAAAGACATTGCATTCATCGTTTAGACCCTAATAAAATATTAAATATAAAAATATAAAATATTCATTGAGCTATTATAAACATTATATTTAGAACAAACAGTGTAATTTAAAAACGGCCTTAATTATGAAGGGGTTTTATCAAATAAATTATGTTAATGAATCAATGTATTAAATAAAGAAATTATAAATTGATATACATTAAACTAACCAAAAAATTGAAAATAAACTACCTACTTCATTCGCTCAAAATTATTTTTTCAATTTCAATGATTTATCATTAATTCAAATTGAATACATTATAGTTATATCTAATCCTAACTTACTGCACACAACAGAGTAACTAACTTACCTACATTTTGTAAATAAAATTGTTAAATTTTAATAAAAATTGGTGATTATAGAAAAAAATTGATGTAATAAATTCAGCGTGACAAAACACAATGTACTTAGAAAATAAACTTTTAGATTATGTTTAATCTGTCTAACTGAAAGAACGAAATTAAATTTTCAAAATTGCATTTATTTTAATGAGTTAAACAAATATGACATTTAAACAATGAAACAAGACACGACTATAAAAATGCTAGACACATTATAGCTACTGTAAGTAGAGTAATGTTTTCTATAATTCTGTAATATATGGAACAGTAATGTATAAGTATAGATACCTACCTACATAAAATGTTATATTATTACAGCCTGTTTTGTTAACAACAACTTCCTACGTGTAATAATTAAAAATAAAATTTTTCTAAAATAGGGAACGAATATATTTGATTAGTGATGAGGGGAAACATTTTATCATATACAGATACTTATAATATTTAATTTAAAATACAAAATATACTTATAGTTTTCCATAATGCTTACCGATATTACTGCTCAAACAACGTGCTTCAAAAAACGAAAAATCAAGCTTATTTGGTCGTACTTGATTGAATATTGCTTTTTTTATGTCTTTAGTTTTGGACGATTTTGGCCAAGCACAATTTCCTTTTCCATACCAGAATCCAGGAACTACTTCCACAGTGTTCTCCAAAAGAAAATGTACTACACACCACACCATTTTACGTATTTGTATTTTCGTAAAGAATAAAACCGTTAAAAAAACGCGTGCGAAGGACGGACGCCGTCGCCGAACACGATTATAATAGACGTGATAGCGAAGACGCGAAGCAGGCAGTGAGTCGTGACCGTTGATCGTTGACGAATGACAAGCTTAATATCGTATTATTATATCTTCGCACTCACACATCGTCGCCGTAGTATTAAAATATTGATAAACTTATGGAATTCCCAATGATTACTATATTTCCATCATTAAATTATTTATTTGAGTCTTAGAATTAGAACGACTTTATTTACATCTGATAAAATACGCTGTAATCGTAATGAACTATGAAATGTAGGTAGTAGGTACTTCGGGGATATAACTAAATAATAATAAATATATTAAACAAGCCAGCTTTATCAAGTAAAATCAAAATAATGCTGACAATATGGTTTTTCGACATACCTAGTGTTGATCACCAGACTTAACATTTTGAATATAGCTCACTTGATTTAAAAGGTTGGCAACCCCTTCCGATGAGAATAATACATAGAGTAATAATTTTACTCTATGGAATAATATAATCATAGATTCATAGAACAATCGACCATATAATATGTGCTAATAGACCATTTAAACACACGCTAATATAGTACATAGTCGTAAAAAAATAGTTTCGAGTAGTTTTGACATGGTTACATTTATTTAATAAATCCCTACGCGGCTTTCATAATATAAACTCAAATGAGTCAAATTTGTATACGACTAGTCAAAGACATGCGTATAATATTACTCTGCAGAATAAAATAATATTACACATAATATATATACCTATATATATATTATCATTGTTGTTACCCACAAATGTTGTTAACATTATAATTTATATACATAAATACTTTTTTTTAAATTTGCAAGTTGTATAGAAATATTTTTTTTTTACTCGTGACTGGTATTCGGTAAGTTTTATATTATAAAGTACAGTAGTTTTAATTACGTTTTAAAATCCTATTATTGTTATTTGTAATTATGATTTATAGGTAGCTTACAATTTTTATTTCTCAAGGTATAATTCATTATGAGTCATTACAATAGTCATTACAGTAAGTCAACAAAAAGGAGACGCATCATTCAAGAAATTGAGTGTAATATGTCATTACATTTTGACACAGACGATGAAGAAGGATTGGAATTTGAAGAAG